TTAATTATCAAATGTATTCCACTTGACAGACTAAAAGATTTAGAGATTATTTCGATAGGTGATTACAGCACAGTCTTGTCATCTACATGGATAGATGGAGAAAGATGATAGATGATTTACTATAAATACTTCTGTATTTGAATTAAATTTCAAAAGATACTGAATTGTTATGTAACTTTGATTCATGAAGATGGAGTTGTACATCGTGACCTCCACATTAGAAATATTTTAATACACAATCATTATCCTCACATTTCGGGAGGTGGGAATAAGGGTATAACAAATATCACTAAAAATATATGGTTACATCAATGGCAAGCAAAGAAAGTCCGGAGATTTTTCAAAATTCTTATATCTCCGCTACTATTTGTACAAACGTTACCTCTGTCACTATTTCTACAAACGTTACCTCTGTCACTATTTGTACAAACGTCACCTCTGTCACTATTTGTACAAATGTCACCTCTGTTACTAATAAAAAACATTTTAAGGTTTTAGAATTTTCTGTTGATAAAAAAGATTGCGAAATGGAACATATGTTTAGTGATAATTGGTCACTACTTCGCAAGTTTGGGCCGGTTGTTTTCTCGATTCCGTTGTAATTAGAGTTTCCCCAATACTACGCAAAAAACATAATACACACAGAGGGAAGGTTGTTACACGACCACAGCAACTCAATCAAGACTTTAAGGTTTTAAAGGTTCGGTTCTTAATTTTGGAATCCAAGTAGGTGCCAACTATTATACAAAAAGTGCCCTCAGTACCGAAAAAATAGTGCATGAGCAGAAGTTTTGCATGTGAGCCTAAATTGCCTATCATAATAAAAAAAATTATTATCGTTATGGCATTTAGTCAGCCGAAATTATTCTTTAATGGATGCCGAAGTTAATTTTCATATTTACCGTAATTATTGCCGAAATATTTGGATTCTTTTCATCAAAAATACAACATATACCATAGTTACTTTGGAGATTTCCTATAAAGAATGTATCACCGCCGAAATGTTTGCCGAAAATACTTTTTTTTAAAAAAATAAGTCACACATCTATAAGCAAGAGATGAAGCTCGATGGATGTTATGCAACCGGAAACCGTTGGTCATATATTAGTAATTTTCATGAAAGTGAAGTAACTTTATCCGAGGCAGGGCCGATGATTTTCTGTGATTCACAGAAAACAGCAGAATTTCTCTTAATCACAACCAATCACAGAAATC